GGTTATCAGATTCGATCTTGTGATCCTGTGATCGGAAATGGATGATCTATACCTCGTTAGAATCGTCTTAGTGAGCTAATTCGAATGGTGGTGGTTTTATCGAATTCTGTCCAGTGGTTCAAGAGTTATGATCGTTTTTATAGGTTAACAGTACTAACTTTCTTGAACCAGTTATTACCAAAAAGAAGAGAATAAGAAGTAGCAAGAACAACTTCAACAGTAATTGAAATAATCATTTCTTTAATTTATATAAGAAGGTTCTTAATAATTTCTAAAGGATGTGTAGAAGTACCAGTTGCTATGACAATTAGGCTAGTAGAGACTTGTTCAATTTTGAGTTTTAATTTTTTGACAGTTTGATAAGTGATCATACTAATAGTAGCACTACTATTAATGATAGCTTGGTAGAGTTTGTTTTTAAGTTGGATGTTATATTTTATAAAAGTAGTATGAGTTGTGATTGGACTAGGTTAGCATTTTTAGCTTTTTCATACAGATAGACAGATATAGCTATATGAATAAAAGGGTTGTCAAGAAATTGTTTCCATTTTTTTAGTATTGCAACAGAAGAAGTAAAAGAAGAATCTTTATGACCAAGATAGTTAACATCTTTATAATAGAGTAAGTGTGAGCAAAAACCAGTTTTTCTTCTATTACTATTATAGAAGTCTAAGTATCTGCTTCTTTTTCTAGAGTTTTCTCTTTCTCTAGAAGAGTTTTGATAATAGGATTTGTCACAACTTTGAGAATAAGATCTTTGGTTGCATCTATTATTTCTTCTATAATTATCTCTTTGGTTGAATTATTGTTTAGCTCATCTGATTCTATATTTAGCAATAAAATATTTTGTATATCTATAGTAGTAGCAGTAACATAAATTTTTAGCTTAAAGCCTGTTAGTGTTAGATGTAGTTATGTAGTTAATAGATTGAGGTTGAGGTAGTTGCTGTTGCTATGCTAAATTAATACTAAGTTTAGCAATCTGGTTTGTTAGTTGTTTAATAGCTTGGTCTGTTTTTGTGATAATATTAGTAGCTATTATATGTCCAATTTCCTATTGCCTAGCAGTAGTAATAGCAGCATTTAGGTTAGCAGGTTCACTAGCTTGCACATTAATAGAAAATTTAGAGTATAGTTCTTGAATAAATAGTTGTTTAGTGAAGTCAACAGAGAAGGCATTACTAGAGTCAACTTGTTTTTTTAATTGTCTAAAATGATTAACATAGGCATCTATTGTATCTGGTCTTTGTTTGATATCAAAAAGCTGTTTTTGTCAAATAGCTTTTTGTTTAAATATGTAAAAGTGAAATTTAAAAAAATGTTTAAAGCTTCTATTTTAGTAGGCATTATCATCAAAAGCATTTGGGGCAGAGTAAAGACTTTGCTACCAATCTAATACAATTTCTTTTAAGTATATAGAAGTAAGTTCCAATTTTTAAGCAGCATTCTATTTGCTAGCAGTAGCAGCTCTTCAAAAATTTTGAACCATTGTTCTAGATTTTGAGTTCTATTATTATAAAAGAAGTTAGTCTTCATAAAAGCTTTTTTACTTCTATTTAAAGCATTAGTAAGATCAGTCATAGCTTGTACAGCATTTTGTAAAGCTTGTTGTATCATATTATCAGATAGGTTAGAAGAGTTATTAAGAATATGTGAAAGTACAGAAAGAAGTTAAGATTGAGATTAAATAGATTAAAGTTAAAAATAAAGATCAGAACTAGTTGTAAATTTAAGAAACCGATTTGAATTTGCACATAATATAAACCAGTTATTATTTAAGTTAAACTGAGTGGAATTTAAACTGGATTATAATTGAGATGAATGATATGATGTAATCAGTTGATCTAATCAGCCGAAATTTTTTTATCATGTTTACATGAAATTTAAACATTCTTTAAATAGTAATTTGTCATTGTTAATTATTAATAATAATTAAAAACTTGATTTTATAAATTTATAATTTGTGTTGAATAAAAATCATTAACAGAAGCTCAATGTATATTTATATTATTATGATAGTGACTTGCAAACAAATAATGAAAATTATTAGCAAAAACAATTTAAGCATATAACGAATTGAAGCATATCTATACAATAAGCAAAACAATTATGCATACAAGGTTTGTTTTCATATAAATTATAGTATTATTATGGAAACATTTCAATATACTTACTATTTCTGTTCAAAAACAGTAACTTATTTACTATATCTGGTGCTAATCGTGTTCTTTTTGATGTAATAAGATTCTCTGCATTAGAAAATAATCTTTCAGATAGAACTAAAGAAGCTGAAATGGAAAGATATTTTTTAGCTAGTTGTGCAAGAATTGGTAATCTAGTTTTATGTGATTGCCACTATTTTATCAGATCTTCATTAAGCCCAATACTTGCCAAAGATAAATAATGTATTATTTCATCTAATTCAATTAGCTCTAATGCTTGTTTCGATGTTGTTTTTAATTTACTAAAAAATTCATCATCATCATTATTATTAATTCTTGATCTACATGCTAATTTACCTGAAAAATTATTTAAATCTAGTAATTCAAATGCTGTTTTTATTTTAATATAAGACTGTTCAAGTAACTTTTTTGCATATTCAAATTGATCTGGTGCCTATTGAAAAGTTTTAAACCATGGATCAAGGATCAATGTAATTAAAGACAGATCTGAAGATATAGTCCAAAGTTCGTCTAGAGACAAAAAGATAGCAGCATGAACTTTTTGTAATAAACCATCAGGATTGACAGAAGGCAAGTATTCATTCATATTAATATTGTCTGAATTGTTAGTTTTGAGAAGATTTTTTTTTATTGGTATCTTTTTTTAACTTCTATTTGTTTTTTTTTGTTTTTTTTTGATATTTTGATAGAATTGTCTATGAGTATATTGCCAATATTGACAAGCTCCTCTACTTGGCATGCTATTATCATCACTAATAGAATCTGAACTATAATCAGTATTATTATCCTTATCAGAAGTACAACTATAAATTAAATTCAAATATAATTTTTTTGTTTCTCCATAATCTAATTGAAGTGCAAATGATCTTTTAAGTATTTCTATATATGGATAAACCATAATAAATGTAGAATAATTTGCACCAGAAATTCGACATGTGATTTTTTCAAAAGGGGCCAATAAATTTATAATATCATAAAGAAATCTAAAAATAAATAATAGTATATTGATATATATTAATAAATTAAACCAGTTTATTAATACGTATAAGGAACATATTAATAAACTGGTATTAAATTATGTTAATTAATTGCTTTATAAAGAAACTTACTGTTTTTCATCTAAAGTAAAACATAATTGTTCTAATTTTTTACCTTCTTTTTGTAGTAAACATTCAGAACTTAAAAGCAAAGAATTTGAAACATGGCGCATAGCATTATGAAGTTCAAAGACACATTTCCATGCATAATATGTTGAATTTCAACATGTTTGAGTATCTTCTAAAACATTTAATGGATTTATTTTAGGATTGAGTTGAAAGGATGAATCAAGCTCATTTTGAGCAAGTCGAAGCCTTTCTGCTTGCTTTGAAAACCTAAAAAAAGCCTGCAAATTTTTTATTCATTTATGAAAATCTTTATATTGTTTAAGTCTCTCTTGAACAGTTAATTGTAATGTATATGCTACACAAGATTGTTTAACAATAGACAAAAAGTAATTTTTTGAAAGTAAGTTTATTCTGCTAATCATATTGGACTCATTATCAGTTACTATAGTAAAAACTAAGCTTTGTAAATTCTATTTTTGAATAACTTTATATAATTCTTGGCTAATTATTTCTCCTGAATGAGAATATGGCAAATGATTACATTTTAAAAGAACTTCACAAAATTTAAAATCTGAAGTTAGCCAAGTACCAGTTATTCCGAGATATCCATGTCGTGACTTTGCAGTCCATAAGTCTGTTGTTAATATATTGTTTCTATGCTTGTATTTAACATAGATTTTAGCTGATCTTTACTTAATTGGTATGCTTTATAAATTATATCTTTGACCATTTTTATACAGAGAATTTTATATCCAGACATGCATGTCATTATCAAGTCCCGAAATGATTTATCTTCTAAAATATACAATAGTTTAACAAATTTAATAATAAAAGTAACCAACTTGTGAGTTACAAGTTCTTGTTTTTCTGGTAAACAATAAGGTGCTATATCATGTATTTTAATCTGTTGATTCTTTGGCTAATGATGACTAGACCTAACATATAGGACAGGCTAATATATGTAATAAAAATATAATCAATATATTAGAATTAAAAAAATTTTATTTATAAAAATCAATTATATTACTTCGTTATTAGCATTTAGATATTTCTGATAATTCGATTTTGTAATGCCATGCTTATCTCACAAATGACTAATTAAATTTGTAGTATTTCCACCTTTTTTTGTATAGGGGTAAGGCTTTTTACAATTATCAACTAAGTTATTAACACAAATTTTGCAATAAACGATTTGTGGATTTTTTTTATTTTCCTGAAAAAAATATGTTGCGTGACTTTGATTTGTTCGTGGTTTTTGAGAATTTTTTTCCTACTTTGAGTTATATGACTTTGATTTGCTTGTAACTTTTTGAAAAATCTTTTCCTTTTTTGAGTTTTGCTAGTAAAAGAAGAATCGGACAGTTGACTATCTAAAGATGAATTTACAGATTCAAAGTGGTGCATGGTTTCAGAAAGTTCAGAATTGGAAAAATTGGCCTCCATTTTTTTTTTATTAAAGAAAACTTGAGTTTGTACAATTATCATTATACACATAAATTGACACAATTTATATCATTAAAACATAAAACAATTTGTCATTATGTATATACTTACATATTAATAAAGAAATGATAAATTAATTATACGTAGTACATTATTATATTGTTCGATGACTACATAATTTCAAATTGTTAGATTACTTTTTATTCATATTATTTAATTTACCTATAAATTTACAATAAAATAAAATATTTCGAACTTGGAATAAATAAAACTGGATTTAAATTTAAAAACTGGTTTGTTAGAATTTTGCAACCAGATTAAGATATTATAAAACCAATTTACTATTAAAACTGAGTTAACCCGAATTTATACCCAAATTTTATTAACCGGTTCTGACCTCTGTTGGAAAGCAATAGATTGGGGTTAAGGAAGTGCAAGTTAAGATAAAGGTAAAGAAGAAGAACTATCTTCAATAATCTGTAGTGATAATAAGTCAGTAAAAGTGTGATATAAGCTAGAGATGTCTGTAAGGTTTACAAAAGTAGTAATATATTCTTCTGTTTCTAAATTGTTAGTGAATAATAAAGAAATTTATGAAGTTCAATTAGGAGTGTTATAACTTTTAGAAAGTTTAGTAAATGTAACTAATTTACTATATAGAGCTAAGCTATTTGCTAGGTTATATAAAAAGAAGATATTATCAGTAAAAGTAATATCAGTAGTAGATAATAGAATAAAACTTTCTAAATTTCAAGATGTTGACTAAATTCTTCTAGTTCTTCAAAACTAAAACTTAGAGAAGCATCAAGATAAAGATCAAAAGTGTTCTAGTATTCAAAAGGTAAGATAAAAAGTTAGAAAAGATTGATATATTTTTTAATTAAAGTTAAGACTATTGTTCTAGAATTACTAATGTTTTGTTAATATTAACAACTAAAAATAATATCTCTAATGCAAATGTGAAGTGTAATTTAGTTTAGATATAAGGTAGTAAAAGTGGTAAAGTTGTTCTAAGTTTGGAAGAAATAATGTTGAGCTGCAAAGTTAGTTTGGTACCAAGTTCAAAATTATTCAAAATCTGAGCAAGGGCTAGTACATTGAAAGAAATAACATTAAAGACAAGATAAATTTGAATGCTGTACTTGAAGCATGTTTATTGCAAGATAAAATCCAGTTAGGTATACTTGTTGATGGCTTTGGATGTTCTTGTTGTAGAGTTCAGCAGCAGTACAAACAATAAAAAAAGAGGTATATCTATGTTCAGAACTCTGCTAGGATAACTAATACTCATCCAGGTCTCTTGTCAGAATAACTAATACTTATTTAGGTCTTTTGCCAGGATAACTAATACTCATCTAAGTTTCTTGCCAGGATAACTAATACTTGTTTAGGTCTTTTGCTAAGATAATTTTTTTAATACATCTAGAAATGTCTTGTTTAAGATGACTTGTTTTCTCTAAAAATTTAATCTTTCTGTCAGAAGGCATCAAATATTATAGGTAAAAGCCTTCTTAATTTTTATACTATAATGATGATATAGTACAGAGAATCCCTTATATGTATATGCAATGTCTAAGAGAGAAGTATAGCTTTTGTTAGACATTATTAAGAAACTATATTTTTCTCTAAGGCAGTTTGGGAAAGGTAATGCAATAATAATAACTTTACTTTTTTTACTAAGAAAAAATAAACTTTGTCTGTAGGAATTATTTTAAAAAAGAAGTATTAATACAATTTATAGTCAAAAGCTATTTATTAAAGTAATAACAAGAAGGATTATCTTTAGGTTTCTATTTCTAAAAAATCCCAAGATGTGTTTACAATATTAAAAGGAAAAAGAGTATCTGTTGCTTAATTGCACTTGGTGAATTTAGCAGAGTTTATATATCTATAAGCTAAATGACTAAGTGACCAAGTAACTAAGTGACTAAGTGATAAAGTGACTAAGTATTAAGTAACTAAACATTAAGTGACTAAGTGACTAAATGACTAATTAACTAAGTGATTAAGCAATTATTAAGCAACCAGAAGGTTCTAGCAACTAATGATTAATGATTACTAAGTAACTAATTACTAAGTGACTAAATAACTAAGTAACTAGGCAACTAAGTAACTAAGTAACTAAGTGACTAAGTGATTACTAATTAACCAGAAAGTTTTAGCAACTACTAGTAATAATAATAATACAATAATAAAATAACTAATACTAAATAATAATAATAATAATAATAAAGTAATAAAACTAATAATAATAAAATAATAATAATTTGTTCAATAACAGTATCTTCTTCTATATATTATTTCAAATTGTGCTTATTATTAAACTTTTAAAAATATAATATATTTTTTAACTAGTTCTAAATAAAAATATAATTATCAGTAAACTTTTTAAATTTATTATTTTTTTTTTTTTTGCTCTTAAGCAGCCATGCTAGTACTTTATTAAGATTCTTGCAACTATATATAATAACTACAT